ACAAAACCATGGTAGGTGTTACTGACTTCATGTGAAGCTTCTATCTTCCCACTAATTTCTCCAGAAGAGAAAGTCAATGTTGGGAGGTCAGGAACACCTGACGATTCACTAGTGATGACAAACAAGTGGGACCATTTTCTGTTTGTTTTTTAGTGTGGTAATGTCTTTTTTTATTAATACATGTTTTCAATACATAACAATTACACTCACCCTGAGAACTGATACATCACATAATCACACTTTAATCATTTGTACATCGTGTTCTCTGTCTCACCCTCCAACCTTCCCACATCTCCAGTGTGGCGAGGTCTTGAAGGAAAAAGTGAGCAAGATTTACCTGACAGCATGCTCAGGAATGGATTTAGAAGGACAAAATGCCGGTAATGGTGGCATTTAAGGACTATAAATGGGGGAATGTAGAGACTGAATAAAGACTGAAGCTCCTGGCAAGTGCAAGGGCCTGAGTTCAAGCCTGGTTCCGCCAAAAAAAAAAAAAGACTGAAATGAAGGAGCCCAAATAGGAAGAATTCACAGATTTTTGTAATTAAATGAGTGAAACTGGCCTTCCAAATTATTTGAAGAAAACAAGCCAATATCTTATGAATCCTGGCTGACATGTTTAAAGACAGACATACCTTATCTAACACCACATCGCTCTTCCTGAGTTCTAAGACCTTGGAAAGATACCGACAGAGCTCAGCGTTGGCCTCTCCCTCTGATGGAGGGGCTGCAATCGCTACATTTATAGCTTCCGTGGTCAGATCTGGAATAAAATGGTATGAACTTTATCCCTGAGGAGTTTTCTTTGTGAAATGAGGAAATTTTGTAAAAAGAGTTTGCGTTTGGTTGGGCACACAGATTTTTCAGTTAACAACTATCAAACTCAGTACAGTTCGCAGTACCAAACCCAGCCAAACTAAAACAAAAAACTTAGAGAATGATTCATCACACTTTGGAGACATAAACATGAGGAGTATGTCTCTATCATTACATGCCATAAATCAAGAAAAAACAAGACCTACCCTATACTACCCCGCTGACCAAGAGGGACCTAGTACCCTGAGAAGTGTCTTGGACTTGGCTCGCTGGAAATGGCACTTTATCTATAGGAAGAGCTCCAGCCTGCAGTTGGAGGAGCCACGCTTCAGCCCCGAAATGTGTCCAAGGAGTTGCACTATGAGGCAGCTCACAGGAAAATACAGGGCTACTCAGGAAAAGGAGAGCACCTTTTCTCTTACATGGATCGTCTCTTACATGACACATGTTTTTGTGAGACCCTTCTCATGCTGCAGTTCAGGGTGGTCTTGTGCTCACTCTAGAGCCCAGGCTGGTCTTGAAATTGAGGCAAGTTTAGCCTCAGCCTCTAGAGTACTGGGATTACAAGCATGCACCACCATGACACATTTTGAAGGCTTTTTTTTTTCCCCAGCACAATTCAGATCAATGGTTTTAGATTTTAAATTCACATAGGAATTAATGAGGGGCCTTAGATTACAGGTTTTCTCCCATTCCTTAGGCCAGTGATCACCGAACTAGACCAAAACACTTCTTTTTTCCTTTTCTGTCCAGTGCCTCTGGGTTTGGAATAGCACAACCTAAGAATAACCTAGGCCAGGGTCTCCAAGTCCCAAGTCAGGGACTAGTACCTGGTGGGGAGCGTGTTAGGAAGAGGACCACAGTATGAAATGAATGGTACAGGGATAAGCCAAGCTTCGTTCCTAGTGACAGCTGCCCGCACTACCTCCTGAGCAGCAATTCTGTCACATCGTGGTGGCATTAGGTTCTCGGAGGAGCAGGAGCCCTACTATGAACTGCACACCAGAGGACTCTAGGTTCTGTGTTCCTCATAACAATCTAATGTAATAGTAAGTTATGTCATTATAAATGACAATGACAGAAAATATGCAGAAAAGTAATTTGCTTGAATCATTCCACCCCTTCCCAACCCAGGAAAAACTGTCTTTCACAAAATGGGTCCCTGGTACCAAAAAGGCTGGAAGTCACTGAACTAGAGTATAGGCACATCCTCCCTAAAATACCAACTTTTTACAAAGTAAACATACAGTGGTTTACATCTAACTTGGTATAACTTAAATAGCATGTATTCACTTTCAAATACCTTTAACATGAGAATCTAGAATTTTTAAATGGAGAACCCTCTAACTGCAAATATGAAAAACATGCTCCGCTGTCACAGGACAAGCGGTCAGCTAAGTGAGATGACAGGAAGGTGGAAGGCGCAGGTCGAGAGTCCCACCACTCCCGCAAGTGTTCACACATACCTGTCACGGCGCTTTGTTTGGAGCCAGGCTTGGCGTGGATGGCTATTGTGACACAACCTTTAGCATCAACTGTCACAGGACCTAACGGACGGAGTGGCTTCTCTGGTTCCTTGCTCTCGTCTTTACTCTAAAATGAAAATCACACAACTTTAAATGGGTTACAAAATGTTTCTACTTACTTAATGCGATCTTCCCAATCCCCTTTATCAAGAGCCAAGACAAACTGTTTACCAGAGGTTCTGAACACCTGTAATACTCCCACACCATTCACCACTATCAGTTGCTCCACCAGGCCTTCTCAGCGCTCCTGCCTCAGAGGAAAACCTGACTTCACGTTGTACTTAGCATTCCTCAGAAGCAAGGACTATCTCTCACCTCTACCATTCTGTGATACATCCCAAGCCCCGCCCCTCCTAATTTCTAAATTCTAAGAAACTCTCACTTAGCACGAGAAGATCTCACCTAGGGATCTTCTCGCCAGTTTCCTAGTGCTGGGAGTACAGGCATGTGTCACCTTCCTCTCTCGGTTTACCGCTGGTGTTGCAGCATAAGGATGAAGTGACAACAGTGACTGATATTTAAGGCCACGCTAGTAATTTATTCGTTCGTTCATTCATTCAACAAGTAACCAATCGCAGGGCAGCGGCCGGCGCGCGGATCCCGGAGGATCAGCAGGACCCCTAGGACTGTAGCGAGGGAGGGGGCGGACGAACCACACAGCATGCGGCGCGGAGACCCACGCCTGGAGAGGCCCGAGCGGCTCCGCCGGGGGAGACGCGGGGCCGGGTCTGGGGTGCAATGGAGCCCACCTCGCCGCGACAGGGACGAGCGTGTCCCCATGGGACGGAAGCGCGCGGCCCGGCGAGGGGCGGTGGGGACCAAACCCGCGCCGCGCCGTCCGTGAGCCCCGCGTCTCCTCCGCGCCCCGGGACTAACCCTGCGGCCCACCTTCTGGACGCCACGGGATTCGCTCTTGGCCTTGCTTGCCGCGCCAGCTTTCTTAGGCATCTCTGACCCAGAAGGGAGCCGCAAAGCTGCGAAAAGCCTCAGCCCACTCTCGAGACTCAGCATCCCTGCCCCAGCGGCCCGGAAGCGGCCTCTGCGCCTGCGCACGTGGAGGTCCGGCGGCGCGCCGACATCCCGCGCATGCGTTCTTGCCCGAGATCGCCCTGTCGCACCTGGCAGGCGTAAGTCCGGTTTCCCGACTTGCAGTCTGAATTGTGAAGAGGCACAGGGCGCCGGGCTCAACGTTCCGTCACTTCTAAATGGCCTAGCAAGACCAACAGAGACCACAGGTGCCCAGCCGCAGCCTGGCCTCAGCGCCTCCATTCATCATCGGGCCACTACTTTGTGCCTGACGCCGAGGGTCCCACAACGTGGAAGAGGCAATATACTGTGACACGTGACATAGCAGCCTGTGAAACTGGGGGAGTGAACAGAGGTGAGATCATGGAGTCAGAGAGGACCTGAAGCTAGGGATCCGCACAGATCAATGTGCTGTTTTAGAAAGCACCAGCTGCAGTGTGGTCAACAGCGACACCCAAGGTAGGAAAATCTGCCACCAAAGAAGGAAAGTGGAGGCCTGTACTAGCGCAGCTACGCAGGGACTGAGAGCTGATCATTGTAAGGACATTCAGTAACTGAAGCTGTCCACTGGGGGATAAATGGATGTGGGAAGGAAAATGAAGAGTGAAGGCAGACTCCCAAGCTTGGGGCTGAAGGAGCAATGTGGAGATCTGAAGTGGACTGTTTTTGATGTAGATAATTAGGACATTGGAGTAGATCTATTCAGGAGATAACTATATAATCCAAGGTTGAGAGATCTGGGTTTGTAATAGATTCTGGAGTCCTCTAGGAGCTGGAAATCAAAGTCATGGCAGAATATTTGGAGCACATGGGGCCAAGAGTGCACCCTAAGGACAGGAATAAAAGTTACCGAAGGATGCTGGCCAGAGATAGGTAGTGTGACAGCTAAGGGAGGGCCCTTCAGGAGTGACAAGTGTCACAGAGAGGGTAAGGAGATGGCCACAGGAAAGTGGGTTTCAGTGGAGAGGAGAAAATGAAAGTATGAAGAACGTTTCAGTGACTTAACCTCGAAGGAGTAACTGTTTGGAGGGGCAGAGGACCCAGTATTCTTAAACTGAATGAATGTTAACAGTTTCTGAAAGTTGATACGAACGAGCCAGGAGAGGAAGTTACACCTAAGGTTCCTGAGTTGGGGGATCTGAACATGAGTAGAAAGAAGCTGAGGTACTCAGGTAAATTTTTTTGCTCCGAATGCCTTCAGGGCAGGTTTGGCTGGCTTGAGTTGTGGGGATTGAACCGCAGCAACCTGAGCCTGACTGCTTTGTTGAAGCAGCCACTTAAAGAGCTGAGCTAAGGGGCAGGCCCCCCTTCAGGTAAATTTGATGGAAGTAACTAAATTTCTATCTAGCTAATGGGGAGGTGTTGATGGTGTAAGGAGGGACAGTGTGATCAGAAATAGTGTGGACAGTTGCCACCGCCAAAGGAAAAGAGGGCTGAGGAGCAACAGAAGCACCCCACAAATCCACAGGCTGTAACCAGGTACACAGAGTGGCACTAAAACTGAAATCAGCTGGAATTACAGCTATACGGCAGACATCTTTGGCCGACTCTGCCAGCAAGAAAGGCAAGACAGGACTCAAGATTCACGGAAAAATACTGAGTGTGGAAACAAGTCTTAGTAGGGACTCACTATTCCTCTCCCATAGCTGGTGGATTGCAATACTGCAGACCCTAGAAAACACTCCTGCAAAAAACAGAGGAATATTATTTGAATTTTGCTTCATTTTTGTCTTTGTTCTTTTATTTTTACCTAATTTTATTTCTTTAACTTAATTTAGGATCTCACATTTGTCTCCCTATGTTCCTTTTATTTTTCAAATGTTATTTCATTTTTCCTTTCCCCACCTCTCCATCCTTACCATTACTGTCAGGCTTTATTAATCTTTAGATATTTGGTTGATGCCATTGTTGAATTCTTTTGTTAATGGTGGCATAATTGTATTTAATAGATACTGTACATCAACACTTGGTTTGTCTTTGTGCCTATAAATACAGATCTCTTTTCTATGGTTAAGGGTGGTACTGTGCTAGATCCATTAGACCAAATATAGTGTCCTACCCAACACAGAATACATTCTTCTCAGCAGCATATGAAATTTTCTCCAAAATAGATGATATAATAATCTGTAAAGAATGCTTAAGTAACTGCAAAAGAATCGTGATTATCCCATGCATAATACCAGATTGCAGGGCCGGAGAGATAGCTCAGTGGACTACGTCCCTGGTTAGGCAAGTGCAGGGACCAGGGTTTGATCCCCAGCACCACATGCCTCACCGGCCCCACCCCCCGGGGCATGCTGAGCCAGCCACTGAGTCCAGGCATGGTGGGGCATGCCTGTAATCCCAGCACTGGGGAGGCTGAAAACAGGAGGATCACTATGAGTACAAGCTACGTAGTGAGACCCTGTACCAAATACATAAAAATAAAATATCAGATTGTAGTGCAGTGAAACTAGAGTCAATGGCAAAAACCCCAAACCCAGAAATTATGCAAATATATGCAAATTAATATATTACTGAAGAACCAATGGGTCACAGAAGAAATCAAGAAATTAGTTCCTAGATACAAACAATAATGCTACTACAACATATCAGAGCCTATGAAACACAATAAAAATAGCCCTAATAGGGAAACTTACAGTTATGATTGCCAACATCAGAAAAGCAGAGCAAGCCCAAATAAATAACCTAATGATATGCCTCAAGGGCTTAGAAAAAGAACAATCCAAATCCAAAGCTAGTACATGGAAATCACAACAGAAATTAATGAAATGGAGACTACAAATAATACAATAAATTGAAGGGCTCATTCCTTGAGAGGATAAACAAAACAGACAAATTCTTGGCTAACCCCCCAAAAAATGCAAAGAAAAGATGCATTTCAATGCAATCAGAAGTTTAAAAAGGCAAAAGCCCAGTACACTGCTTAAGTCTAGATTATTAGCAACTACTTTGGAAAGCCTATAACCCAGTGAATTAGAGAATACAGAAGACATAGCGATTCCTAACACACAAATTGAGCCAAAATGATATAAGGACCCTGAATAATCCAATAATAGGCAATGAAATTAAGCAATAATAAAAAGAACCTACTGTCTAGTGAAAGCCTAGGATCCAATGAATTCACTACTGACTTCTACAAGGACTTCAAGGAATATCTATACTCCTCAAACTAAGGAAACTTGAGAGCGAAAGACCACTATCAAACTCATTCCTAGAAACTAGCATTACCTTGATTCTAAAAACAGGTAAGAACTCACCTAAAAAAACCCTACCAATCTTTTAATGAACACAGATGTAAAACTCCTAGTAAGATACTGGCAAAATGAATACAAAAATTAAAAAGATCACACATGGCCAAGTAGCCTTCGCTTCAGGGGTTCAAGGAAGACTCAACATAGAGAAATCAATAAATGTAAAATACCACATATTCAGAACCAAGGACAAAAATGACAATTATGTCAAGACACAAAGCTTTTGAGAAACCCAACATCTATTCATGATTAAATGCTTAAAATTAGCTAAAGAAGGGTCTTATTTTAAGCTGATAAAAACCATTTATGACAAATGACCAACATTATATTTAAAATGGGGAAAGGCTGAAAGTTTCCCCTCTAAAACCAGAAAGGAGACAACAATGTCCACTATGACCACCCTGTGCTGTATAATGCAGAGATTCCTCTAGTGACCTGTTTCAACTGTTCAGACGTAGGATGAAGGCACACCACTTATACTGACAACCTGCCACTGGAACATGAGACTTGTCTTCTTTGGGAGGGGGATAACAAGTCTGTACATCTTGTTTATAGAGCCTCAATATCTTTTTTTGTACAGTCCCCTTTTTAAAAAAAATCAGTGGTTTAATTTTGGCTGATTGTGCTGTATAATACTGTAGTTTTATGGTCTGCTACACATTATAGTCCTGCATACTGCACGTAATACGCAAGTAAAAGCGAAGTCATCAAGTTAAAATTTTCTTTGACCATTTCTTTGTTCCGAATACTGTAATGTGTACACTGTGTACAAATCCTCATTTAGCAACCAATTCATTTAATGATGCCATCACAGGAATGTAATTTGGTTGTTAAGGAATGACTGTACTCAAAACATTAATCAGGCAAAAAACAGAAAGGGAATAAATATAAGAAATCATTTCCACATGACACAATTCTTTACATAGAGGGCTAAAACATTCTACGAAAGACTTCTAGAATAACCAAATTAGCAATGTAGCAGGATATAAAATTCAACACACAAAAAGCAATAGAGTTCTTTTACACGAATAATACAACAATAGCATTTGTTCACCAGGAAAGAAATTAGGAAAATACTACCATTCACAATAGCATCAAGAAGACTTAGGAATGAACCTAGCCAAGAAAGTGAAAGCCCTCTACAATCAAAACTACCATATTCTGAAGGAAATAGAAAAAGGCATTGGAAAATGGAAGGGTATTTTTGTTTCTGGATAGGTAGAACTGACACTGTCAAAATGATACTTTCGGGGCTGGGGAGATGGCTCAGTGGAATAAGCGCTTCCCTGGCAAGCACAAGGGCCTGAGTTCAATCCCTGGTTCCGCCAAAAAAAAAAAAAAAAAAAAAAAAGATACTTCCAACACTTGTAGTGTTTAAATGTAATACCAATCAAAATACCAACAGCACTCCTCTCAGAACTACAGAAAATGATCCTAAAATTCATATGGAGCCATAAGAGATCTAGAATTGCAAAAGCAATCAAAGGCAAGAGCATAGGCAAACACTTTGTAAACAGAACCCCAACTGCACCAAGAAATAACATCAAAAATCAACAAATAGGATTATATCAAATCAAAAACTGCACATGGGCCAGGGAGATGGCTCAGTATAATAAGCCCTTCCCTGGCAAGCACAAGGGCCTGAGTTCAATCCCCACTTCCGCCAAAAAACAAACAAAACAAAAAACTGCATAGCAAAAACAACATCAACAGAGTCAAAAGCCTACAGAATGGGAAAAATTTGTAAGGCGCTCCTAAAGGACTAACATCTAGAATATATAAGGAATTAAAAAAAAAATTAGACCCCACCCAAATAAAAGATCTAATCAGGAAATAGGCAAAAGAAATGAATACAATTCTTAGAAGTATAAGTTGCCAATAAATACATTACAAAATTATTCAACATCTCTTGACAATTAAAAAAAAAAATGCAAACTGAAGCAACAGAGATTCTATGTTACTCCAGGAAGAAAGGCTACCATGAAAAAGTCAAATAACTGCTGATGAGGCTGTAGGGGGGTGGGAGAAGAAACAGTCTACATTGTTGATAGGAATGTAAATTAGTACAACCACTATAGAAATCAGTATGGAGATTCCTTAAAAAAAAAAAAAAAAAAACCTTACAAATTCTATCCAACCTAGTTATTCCCCTCCTAAATATCTTCCCCAGAGTAAAAAACATTACACTACAATGACACATACCCATGTTTACAGCAGCACAGCTTATAATAACTAAATCTTGGAAGTAGCTATCCAACAGTGAAGTTAAAAAAAAAAAAAAAAGCCACACTGCTATAAAGGCTAAGCAAGTCAGACACATAAGTTTAAATATCAAAAGGTTTCTCTTGTATATGAAACCCAAAGTATAAATAACATTTTAATGCATCTGCTGCCAAAGTGAGCACCAAAGTATAAATAATTTAAAGAGCAAAATAAAAGATAAAGAAAATAGGGGGCTGGGGAGATGGCTCAGAGCATTTGCCTGGCAAACACAAGGGCCTAAGTTCAATCCCTGGTTCCGCAAAAAAAAAAAAAAATCTTTTTCAAAGGAAAGGGGACCAAGAGATTAAGGGGTGGAGGGAAAAGAATGAAAAGAACCAAGATGTGTTATGAACATGTACCAACTCTCCACAATGAGTATAACCATTATATATTGGAAACATGTACTAATAAAAATTTTTAAAGGTGGGCATGCTGGCACAAACCTGTAACTCTAGCACTCAGGAAGCTGAAGTAGAAGGGTGCAGTGTTGGAGCACAGCCTAGGCTATATAATGAGTTCAATACCAGTCTGAACTGCATAAGAAGACTTAACTCTAAAAATTAAAATTAAAAACAAGTACACTTTCTACAGCTCCAAATAAAACATTAATGTGCCTGTAAAATTGGTATTCTAATAATCCTTCCCTAATCCTGCTATCAAGGTATGTAAAATACATGCTGCACACCTAGGTGCCTAGCATCACCCAGGTGTAATT